TCAAGCTATTCAATGTTTCGGATAGATTTTTCGTCTAACTCAGAAAAGGCAACGATGAGAGCGCTCTCCTATCTTAACACAGTTAATTGTGTGCAAGAATAACGTTACCCACTTGGTCAATAACGAGCGTTTCTTACTCACGATATAAACGATGCTCATGAAAAGAAAAAATGGATAATGAACCCAAGTAGGCGACATGTGACTTTCTCGCGGCAGAAGGCGCTCTGTTAACCAAGTTCAGGTGTAGAAGCGTCCATCGGAATCCGGACATAGCGCACCTCGGGAATAATGCGTGACTTTCTCAACAGTGCCGCCCATATCAAGCCATCTCACCTTGAAACTTTATTACTTTGCTTTCACTTTCGCGTAAAGGGTAATTCTTCGCGCATACGGATGCTTATCAATATGGTGATACCGCATGAAGTAACTACTCATAGTATGAGCACAAAGGGCAAGTTTTTGCAAAGGTCATCGAAGCGTCAGCAGCAGTGGCTAGCTTGTCCAAATATCTGAAATTACCGAGGCAAAGAAGCATAGGGCCGTGCGACTGCGCGGGACTAATGCTAGGGAGGAGAAGGTGGCAAAGAAGCTGCCGTTCCTAGGTTTTTGACCATTATGTTAATATTTCCTTACAGACGCACCACTTGGCACCTCTACATTCACATTTCTATGTGCTGCGTATCAGCTTATCACGCATTTTGTCTTTAGCAAGACTGCGCGTCATACTCTGAAGGTGAGATCAGTTTTTTGCCTTTTCAAACGCAGTCAAACGTGAACTGTCCGATTCCCCACGAAAACGATATCAAATGGTACACAACATTTTTGCATTTAAAGCTTTTTTTTAAACTTTCCAGGCTTCTCCTTGCTGCCGAACCACTTCCTTAGCCCTTGGCGTCTAAGTTTGACCTAAATGTGTGACACAGTACTTATTTTCCAAGATACGAGATACCTCTGCATGAGTCCTCAATGAAGTAAGGTTGGAGAGGAAGTTATTCCTCAAAACTTGTCGTTATTGTACAGTAAAACATGTTCCATGCTCTAATTCCTAGCTCTTATTTTGAGATCTCGGAAGAGAGGTGACGACGATACTTTCAACAGGCGCCGTAAAAACTTACATGGCTCATGGATTTGACTCTGCCGAAGCCTACTTAGGAATCCTCTTTGTGAATTTATTATGCGGGCCGTAGATAAATTAACACACTTACGCCGGTGGCAGCCCACATGGGCTGTCAACTAGTAGTCGCCTTCTAAGCGTCCGTCCTGATTTTAGCAGGAGATTTTTCAGATCAGAACATCACGTCTTATGGCTTGCCTTTGATAACTTTTGTGCTATTCTATGTTTGTTCATTTCATTTACTAACAAAATCAATCACACGATGTGAGATGAGGCCGCAGCAAAACCACACCGACCTTCCAAAAGCTAAAGTGGACTGTCATAGAACATATTAGAGACTTCCTGAATGAGGCCTATTCCAAGAAATCATTGAAAACTCTACTGTGCATCCTGATTATTGTGTTTAGAGTATTTTCTTTCGAACGGGCGATGAGTAATTAATTGAACCCTCGTGGAAAACTTTCAGATGTAACTTTTAGAAGGGCTATGTGACATTTTAATTGAACTGGATACGTCATCTGCAGCATGTGACAGAAAAGAATTCAATGGAAATCCATTCCCATCTACTCAAAACAAGTAGACAAAATATTTATTATTAAGCTTGCAGACAACAATTATTACTTAATTTTTAATTAAAGACAAAAGAGCATTTATCACAGCATGCAGACGAGTATCTACATATACACCATATAAATTATTCTCTTATTCAACTACACCCTGAAGCTTCAATAACAGTAATTTCACAATCAAACGAATTTCTAACTCTATCTAAATGCTGTCCCATTCAAGCTTACCAGCTTTAATTACTATGCTTTTTGAACCCACATTACAACACGAGGTGCAAACATTTGGTAAAAATGACTCCCAAAAGAACTTATTAAAATAAAAAATTCAAGCATCACTTGGAAAGTGAATTAAAGTCAATCCCTGGACATAATTAAAATAATTGGAAAATGGGGGTAAAGGTAACGAAATCATTTAGAATGCTTTTACAACTTTTTCACAACGTTGCAATAAAGAATGGGAACGGAGCCACATTAGAACTTAGAGATTATAGGATCTAAATCTTCTAGTAAAGCTTGCAGGCCTCTATATGAGAATATAGGCGAGAGTGCTGAACAAGAGATCGCCTTAGGGTTGTTGCTCGAGATCTTCAATAGTATTTCCTTTGATTTTTGACGAGAGAATCTGTTTCGATACTAATGAATAGTATAACCCGTTCACATCAGCCATCAATTCAGAGTGATTTCCAGTCTGAAAATGAATACTTCGATCTTTTAGATGGCTTACTATGTGATTTTGTACGGTCCCCTACCGCTCTCATGGAAATGTTCTTTGCCTTGACTGAGCAAAAGCGTTGTGAAAAGGGAAAAATCAGCTGACGCAACGTTTTTATTTATTCAACAAAAGTTGCACACAATCGGCGCGTTTACTCGATGAAGGGGCGATGCCAGGCCGAGGAAACTTCGTAATTCCGCACGATTACCAGCACCCACTCTCCAACACATGTGCCACGGTTTGCGACTGTGGTCCCGGGCACTGCGCGCTTGGGCACTGTTGTGCTCCTTGACCGCGTTGCATACTCCGGCTACAGGGACATGCTCCGCCTCTGTCCAACCGAAGCTACTCAAGCGAGCCGCCTCCAATTGGCGCCCTCCCCCCCCCCTCCCGAAGAGGTGTCACATCGGGCGACGCGAAGAAGCCGAACCGCTGCTTCTAACCTCGGCAGCATGACCGGGCATGCTGCTCCGTCCCGTCGGAGCGCTGTTACGTCAGCGTCCGCTATACCCAATGGAGACTGCAGACTTCCTTGGGAAGCCGGCAATGTGCCCACTTACCGTTTACCGCCAACGCACTAAACGGCCACGCTCTAACAGATGGACGACGCGATGGGCTTGGCAACTTCAAAGCCTTGCATGAAAGAACAATGGTTATAACGATGTCGAGGTTATTGCCGTAATAACGTCGAGTTATATTTGATGTGTAGTTAATTGTGTCCAGGTTTAGTATAGAGGACGCTCAAATCCCGCACCATGGCGTCGGCTGTTTAACCTTGTTTGCTGCTATTGTTTTGTGGGGTAATAGCTGGGCAAGGCAGCCCTCCGCCCTACAGCTGGGAAGCCCTGAGCCGGGCGGGCTTTTGCCCTGCGGAGTACCGTTACCGGTCTCTCAACCACCGTCCCTCGTGAGGAAACCTGTTATGCCCCAGGAGCGAGCTCATGCTTCCGCGAAATAGCATCGGTCGCCCGCAAAGACCCGTGAGCCCGTGTTTCAGGACCGCGAAGGCTTCGCGAACCACCTTGATGCGTCGTGCTGAAGCGACAATGTCTAGTACCTTTTTTGAAAAGGCCTAACCTGTACTAGTCTTTCCTTTATTGATAACAGCTATTTGATCGCTTTTTCGATTTGTCACAGTCGATGTGCGATAATTAATACAGTACGTTCACAGTGCACACCTTTAAAAACAATAAAATTATTAATATTATTCAATTCAACAAACAACAAAATAGAAGAAAATGAAAAAAGTGAACAATACGCAGACGTCAAAAAACAATAGACAAAGGGTGTGAAGATGCATGTGACCCAAAAAAGTGCACCGAGCTGGATACAAGCTCAAGCTGATAAAAATGAGGGGGCAAGGCCTTTGCTTCGCCCTATCAGGAACCAACAGGTGTATAAGAGTATTTATCCACCCGCTAAATGTAGAAACTCCTGATAGCTGCGACTTCCAACACTGCACGTTTTTTAGGACATGTAGTTTAATGTTCTCTTATCTGATGTATGATTGACAAATGTGACTAGCGCGTCCTCAGTCCTCGATCCCACCATTACATGAATTTGTAGGATAAAATGTAATGCGAAGTGATGCAATGCAAGACTGGTTTCATATGAAGGAAATTTTTAATAAAACTACCTGTTCAGTGCCTCCTGCACCAATTGCTTCGGATTCCGCATCCAACGCTGACGTCGCCTCATCGAGAATCAACACTATCGGATTCCGAACCAACGCGCTCGCGCAATCGCTATACGTTGCTTTTGACCTCCTGAATAAGTGGCATTTCCAAATGGAAAAAAAAATTGGAGCAATACAAGGGTTCTTCAATGATGGAAACACATACAGGAATTGAACACGGTACAAAATTCCTTTTGCTTGAGCCAAAAAAGGTCGAGCCACAAAAAATTCTTTCTGCCCACAATAAATGGCAAAATGCGTCTTCTGTATCGTAGGATCATGGGAACTTGCCCTACACAAAAATTCCTATGAATAGCCTCACTTGTGAAATGATAGGATCCAAAAGATGGGGCTAATCTAAAGGTGTGGCTCATACGAAATGCAGGGTATGCCATACCGTTACTATCATTAATGAGAGAGTATTGCAATTCGAATTTCAAGAAGTTTGTAACAAATGAGATCAGCAGTGTATTTATCAAAGCTAGTTGAGTTGAATGGAAATTGATGGGTCAAACGTCTTTTGCTAGATGACTGTTTAAAGCATATGTGACTCTGGCTAAAGGATCCAAAAGTTCGTACCAAAAACGTGAATTTCCTAATGGTACGGGTGCCCTGTACACATAAGTTTAATGGTAACGAAACGGCAATCTAAACAAGCAATGTTCATCTGAGGATTCTGAAGGATTAAGCTTACTAGTGCATCGCTTTAATAAAAGTACTGTACACGTAATGTAATTCCATATCCTAAAAAATAAACCGCGCCTTTTCAAACTGTGTTGAGTTGAGAAACAAGCAAAACAGATTTCCTAACCTGACATTTGGACTCCCCTTTTCGCCACAATTGGTTTCGTAGCCCTTTTCGAGTTCAGTTCACAAAATTGTGAACGTTTGCCGTTTTTGCAGCTCGAAGCATATCCTCTTCTGTTGCCCCACTCACAAACCGTAGAGTATGTTATATCGTACAGAGCCATTGTAGAGCACAGGTTCTTGTGCTACGAGAGCAATCTGTAACAGCTCTCTAGAACGCGTTGAAGGCAGTGATCAGGCTGGCTGCAGAGCAGTGGCGGCTTGGTGACGTCACTGAACTTCATTGGAGGAGGGGATCGAAAAATGACCCTACCCAACCCCCAAACGCGTTGAGGGATCCAGTTCACTATCGACGTGCAATGACGTGACCAAAACCGCAACTGCTCTTCCGCCATCGTGATTCATTGTCTAGAGCATGAAGCCTCAACCAAACAACCATTCTTTCGTGGAAACTTTGCAAAAAACGCCTTAGCGTGGACGAATGTCATTTCATGGTCACACATTCTGAAAGAATCCAAACTGACCCTTTGATGATAGAAGCTATGAGAGATATCCTTTATGTTAACACCATCGATCGTTATATCTCCACTGGTTGGCTCGTAAAAATGTTGAATCAGTGAAACAATCGACGATTTTCCAACCGCCGCTTGGCCCAACAAGCGCTGTTGTACGACCAGCCTCGATCACCAAATCCAAGCCCTGAAACAGAATTCACTATGAGCAGTAAAAGCGAAGTGTCACAAATGAATGGCCAAAGTTACCTTCAACACTTTGTTGTTTGGCCGTGATGGATAAGTGAACTCCACTTCTTTGAACTCAATGCGGCCATTTAGTGGCGGTTTCAAATCGCCATCATTGGGAATTTCCGGTTCACGATACATGTACTCGAAGACCTGGAAGATAGAGATGAATGTTCAGTGAATCGGCTATCTGGTTTCATGAGAGAGTAAAACCATACCTTTCTTGATGCTCCTACACATTCCATCAAACCAGTCATCACATAACCAATGTTCTGAAAAATAATGTTTCAGGAAAGGTGCAGGCTTCGTCCACTTTACGGTAGATCTAGCTCCTCTCGGCGCAGCGAAATCTTGTGTTTTTAGGTTTTGCCGACCGTGCACTGCTCAACTTCAGTAAGTTTGCGCATGCAAATGCACAGGACCACTATCAGAACGTAGCAAGTGGAGACATAATTCGTTCGGAGCCAAGGTTGTCTACTCTTCCCATTTAGCCTCCCATGCCGCCCAACTCACTCGTGCCCCTCGTACAATATGCAAGGCTATGGGCGGGATGTGAGCGTGACTGCAACCCACTGTAAAGCTATCATAGTGGAAGAGGGGCAACATTATCAGGGAGTTGAAGTGGAGGAATTTCGAATACAAGTGTGTTTTTTCGTTGGAAGTTGCCAAGCTATGAGAGTGGTTCTGATTACGTATGCTTTCTTTCCTGCATCATTTCGATCACGTCAGTCATTGAGGGAATCCTTCCCGGAAAAATCGTAATCCTCTTCCACCCATAAATCACTGATTTGAGACCCGGTTCACGAAAAGAACGAAAAATAGAAAAATTGCGTTTTTTGGTTGACATATCGAAAAACCGGAAGGACTACTACGCGTCAAATTCCCGCCGTACATCTGTCACAAATGCTGGCGGCGGAACAATTCCACTTTGTTCTTTGAAAGTCGTCACGGTTTTTTTTACACTTTAACTTGATGCACTAACATCTCGTACTTCTACTGTATGCTACTCTACCGACGTTTTGCCTCTATTCTCCGAACTATGTATACGAAGGCTTCGACCCAATTCTTCCAATGCGCCGCCTGATACGTGGCCACCTCAAAGCGCAATTCATTCCATGCGCCGCCTTTTGCTCCGCGCGACCTACCCCCGCCTGTCCATAGAGTGTGGCATTCGCAAGATCAAATTCCTTCCGACACTGAATCTTCGCTCATGGAACTTTGTATGTTGTCTCTAGTAATCACAACTGACATTCTTGGGAAGGAATGCAAGAATTCTCTGGGGAGGACTCCTTTAACTGTGTTTCTTCTCGATCCCTCTCGTTGCTGAAGTCACACTTCGTCAGTCACATTCGCAAGTGTTGGCGGAGGGTACGACTTCATATGTTACTTACGGTGCGCCACTAGGCAACCTTTTCGTCCTTTTCAGCCTATCAATGGGGTCGGTGTCGTTGCTTTAACTAACACCAGGTCAATTGAGCAAGAGGCAGCAACTCACGTAGAGATTTTCTCCGAGTTGCATTTGGTAAAGAAGGAAGGTAATCAGCTGATCGGTAGTCATCATGTCTAAACTGCACAAGTTACTCTTTTCTGAAGCATCAAACCAAACTATTGTCACGCTTTTGATGTGAGAAAATGCGTACCTGACCATGCCCGAAGTGCTCCTTCGTAGAAGAGTATCAGCAGAACAGGATAGCATTTCTCCAGAACTCGTGTAGTTCCACGTGTAACCATGTAAGCGATAGCCTCTGAAAATGACTCCACACTTCGCAATCAGGCATTCACACTTGTCCAACCCCGCGCCTTATTCTAAAATATCGCTTTCTCGCACAAGCAACAGCCAGAATCGAGTTATCCACAAAACTGGGGCACGGTCGCGCCGGCATCACTTATGCTGGCACTCTGCCCTTTTCAGCGATGTGCCACCCTTTAAAGAATTCTTCCGCGGAAAAGCTCCGCCATAAATAATCGACCCTACGAAACACGCATACTCCTTAGGCTCCTAGCCTTCCAATGGCATACGCAAAAGAACGAAATAAATGTTTAATTTCGATAATACTTTACATCCTACCCACAAGCACAGATCGTCCTACAGGATGCCTCCACTGCTTTCCCGCTGATGATTCCTTTAAGGATCGGTTTTCCTGTGTAATCGAGGGCGGAGCTTTTCCGGTGGAGGATTCCCGTCTTGATCCCTCTGAGAGGGCAGATGCAACAAACTTTCTTGAGCGATCCCAAAAATGCATGACTCTCTGCGAAAAGCCCGCGAGACCATTCCTCTAGAAGCACGGTTATTGGCCAATAACCTCCGCACTATTGGACAAACAGCTTCCACGAACGCTGCGTGCGCGCTCAAATGTTCTTAGTGGGGAAATTAAAGGGGTGGGCCATTACAGACGAGAATTAATGCCGTTGGGGAGAAAGAGAATGTGAATACGCATTGTTCCAGGTTGCTCAGAATCCCAATCCTAAAGCTGTGCTAAATGTCGCTTTCATCCAGTCATTCTGAATGCCCTGTTTTGAATGTCCCCCCCCTAAGGACACAGGCGCAGGCGTACCCTTTTAAACGGTTATAATCATTCTGCGTAAGCCACGTAATACCATTCTCTAGAAGCGCCTGACTGCGCACATCTAAACTTTACTAGGTACCAGGCCTTATCAAAGCACGACGGTCGGCCTTCTTTCTGCCTTACCGGTGGCAGCCACCATTAAATTTGAAAGCGCCTGCATTACGGCGTGACAATATATAATCAATTTCTTACTACAATGCTGAAGGCGCTTCAAGATCTCTACTACGGAATTTTGCTTCCCCTGCACTTACCCACTGACTTCTGCTATCGCGGCACCCTGCTCCATCATAAATAGCATAGAAAAAACCTCCTCACTGAAAAATACTTGCGGTAGAAAGGAAGAAGCATTCACCAACTTATCCTCCGTTCCGAGAATACGCTAGCAGCAGTCCTACTCCTGTGAAGTCAGACCGATGACCAATTCAGACTTTCAGACCCGTTGCAACAACTACTGTTTACGACAATCAAAGCAGGAGATTGGAAGGCTTCCTTGGCTTGGCGGCGTACGATCCAAGGATTCACGGATAAGCAGTGAACATTGTACTACGTAATTCTACTTGCTATGTGTTACAATTAGAGTGTTTTCGGAACTCGCGGCTGGACTTTCACTTCTCTCAGGTTCAGAGATGAAAATTACAAAAGTGAAGCACCCCCAATGAGCAGTTTCTTCAGATGCCGCTTACAGGACACTATATTCAGAATTCATTATAGGAAAACCAGTTGTCGACTAATAGTTCTTCTAAAGGCCATAGATTGCGAAAGCGAAGAACAAGGAAACCAGCGCGCCCGTAATTGTATGAGAGTATGAGTAATTTTATTGCGAACACGACCTAAAGTTGACTCACTTCTTTCTATTCATCCTTAGGGTTTCATCAAGTTTCCCTTCGAATCGATCTACTTCTCTCCGCTCGCATGCGAATGATCTGCAGAACAACAACTCTTCACAAATTCAAATTCAGACACAATCATTTATAACATGAAATACCCAACGAAATATGGGGCAAATTTCAACCAACCTCACAGTACGCATAGTAGACAGCACTTCGTCGGCTATCTGATTAGCATCGGCAATAGTCGTTTGCGTTTTCTCGGACAATTTCTGAAAAACTGGGTATACATTACATACTTCGGCAGTGATTACTCTTAACATTCGAAGAAAGGCTTCCCGTGATTTTTTTTGTCGTTAGTAACTACAAAGAAGAATACACTGATGAAGGTGCTCTTTCGCTGTTTCATACACTTAAGGAGCATGTTACTTTTAGTTTGCCAGAGTTTATATTGCACCTCTATATTAAATTGACTTTTACCTATACCCTTTGAAAGAACATGTCATGAAATGAGAAAATCTGCTTCAGCTATCAAAATATTTCAGTTGTTTACTTTACTTTGATATGGAACATGCTCGTGTACGTCCTGTATACATCGCGACGCTAATTCTGTTTGTTTTATGGTTCGAAGAAAAAAGCAGTATGAGATAGCCAATGCCATTGTGTTTAGCTCTTGAATGGGACCCAGTTTCCCCTCTATCCTGCTACATGGACGTTTGACACATTCATTGAAGGGAAAAATAGCTCAAGCTCTGCGAGCTGTGACAGTACAACTGTTAGCGATTACATGATGCACGCGGATACCGTTTCCTTGGTATTAGTAGCAGAGGTGTTCCACAGCCTATCCGATGCAGTAGACCTTTTTCATTGCTTTTTTGAATAGCAAAAGGACAACCCTGTCACCTATAAGCGTATGGCTATAGTTCGACTTAGAAGTGCGCACCACGTAAAAAGGCTGGCACACAAGGTCATAAGAGATGGATGGCAGCAAGTGGTGAGTGAGCATCCAAGTCCATCAGCGCTCTAGCTCTCCGCCAGACTAGAAAATTTATAACCACGTCAATTTTCGCGCTCTACCTCCTGGATTTTCTTGTTGTGACCTGGGAACTATTAAACCATTTTGGAATAATCATACATGACACCGTTCAGGATTTACGGCACTTTTACATAAAACAAAAGATTACCACTGAAATCTGTTCCAGCCGCATAAAAAATCAAGAACTACGTCATAGTATGCTCCCGTACCATTTTAGTGATGAACCCGACGAGAGGAATGCATATGAAGGTCACCTGAATACCGACTGGTGAGATTTTTATGAAGAAATTAACTTGCATTTTCAGAGCCTGTATACATAAAGGACAGCGGAAAGTGGAACCCTACCCAGCGCGTTCCTACCAATTAATGCTTTCAACTTCCCATGGAACTATGAATGGAGATTGGGATTGAATCAACAGAGTAATGAATGCTAGTTACAGATATTGAGAACCAACTTCTACGTTGAAAATTCTAAGCAAATTGGGGCGGTCAAAGTTTACTGAAGGTAGCGTAAGTAGTAGGAGGCCCACCGAGTCTAGTCGCAGTGGCGATTTCAGTTTTTCCGGAACAAGGCCTTATAAACAGTACACAGATAGCCTGATCACGAAATCATCACTTAATTTTTGGAGAAAGGCAATCTGGTGCCAGTTTTGATGCCGGCAGCTACCTTTTTACTGCATTTCTGCAACCATGACCGCTCACAGCTTGCCTACGAAAGGACGGTAGCAGTTTTGAGTCAGCACATCTTATGAACAGTACTCAAAAGTACTTGTCTTTGTCACTACTCTAGCGATTTGCCTGGGGTCTGCATCCATATGTTCCATAGGAAGATGGAAGATTCCTGTATAATCTTTATTTTAGAAAGTGGTTCCGTTCGGTATGTAGAATTTATTAGATTAGAAACATTTTTTAATCACGAACCATGACAAAACGCCAATGACATAACGAACATATAAAGACGAGAGCGCAACGAGCATGACACCATTGCGGAGAAAGACGTAAGATTCGTTGACACAGTCGTCGACATCGTCTGACAATCCGATGTAAACGAGAGACTATCTCGCCTAAAAAAGGGATAGAATCTAGCGAGCGAAACTATATGTACATTACATGTGAATCTCCTCTATTGGCCTATATTATTTCTTTGCCACCTTACTAAAAGCAATTCGCTAAAAAGCGTCACTAAAGGTAAACGCAGCTTTATTACCAACAAATTTCTGAAATTTTTCGTGGTTACTCAATACTCAAAAGGTCCGTACTACGGAACGGATTCTAATAACTCGCTTCAGAAGCTTCCTCCGCCGACCAATCTGGTGGAGTTAGATGCGAAGTGGGTCAGCAGTAAAGAAAATGGCGGAAAGGCCTTCAAACACGCAAAAGAAGGCATTTAGGAAGAAATGTCGATATTTAAATTTCACAGGGCAATCCTATCGTAAAAAATATTAATTATATATTATTGCCTTATTTAATTTGAAACACGAGGCGGCTAAATCATTTACCAACAGAGAACCGCCATGTGAAATGAATTTTTTCCGACCCTAAGCGGCTCTAGAAAAGAAGCGCACTCATGCCAAAGCGAGCAAGAAAAGTATGAATTTTGAGCAATCAGAAAAATTGTTGCGCAAACCAGCTGCTCACCACTGATGATTCTAGATCATCTTCTTATGTTAGTGATCTCATCAGAGCCATGTAGCGGTTTCATAAAAAGTCATACTTCCGTATAACCGCCAGAAGAAGCTAGACATTTGTCGATGGCTGCTCTGGCGAGTTTGGTTTGAATTTGAAACATGAAGAAGAGAATAATAGAAAAGGTCCAAAGATTCTCCTAGGCCAACCCAACAAACAACGATTGCATCCAGCAGAAACCCTCGTATTTCTCTGATGTTTCACTCCCTTTTGCCTCCGCACCACGCATGTCTACTGGGCTGGCGGAAACTACAGTAAAAGGTGTGCTCTCGAGCCATATCGAGGTGAACCAGCTAGCCAACATCGACAACCAACCGCAGACCGTTTTTAATTGCACAGAAAGTCAAAAAAAACAACAATCAAAAACAAGTCAGAAATTTCTCAATATAATTTCCACAAAATGCCAAACTCATAGAAAATCGTGCCTTTCTCGAATCCATAAAATCTCACCTGACTTTGTGACATCAAAGAAAGCGATGTCTTGATTGACCAACGATCGAAACAAATCGAGCCGCACTTGGCGGCTGACAAGTGCCGTTGCGTAGTCAAAACATCCTCCACGCAGTCCACCGAAAAGTGTGCTGAAAAAGAACATTCAAGAATAAATTAGCACACACTGTGAACTGGTATGCCAAAACCCTACTCACCTGACCATAGTAAGAAGACCCATGATGGTTACAGAGCGAACCAACGAAGCCACTCCAGCCTTCTTAACAATATTCGCTATCACTTGACCAGTAAAGTTTGGAATAAACACACGAGCTGAAAAGATTACCACGGTTCTCCAATGAACTACGGATGAGCTGCAGCATTTGCTCAACCCTCAAATACTCACCGACAGCATAAATCACAAGGAAAACGAATCCCAATGTGAACCATACCCACTGATTTTGACAGTACCGAAGAAGGGCTTGAATATGTTCTAACGTACTTATTCGCTTCGGTTTCGGGAAAAGTGGACTTGCTTCTGCTGAAATTAAAAGTCAACAATGACAACAGAGAAGAGAGAGAAGCAGCGCTACTCCATTCACAATACATATTATTTAATCTTATTCTCCATAACCACCATTTTCTAATGAAGTTGAAATAGCACAGCTAAACAGGCTTTCTAATAGAACAGAAGGCATGGTTTGCTTGGTTCGCAACCACCTCCATACATCGTTCTCTTATATCGTTCAATTAAAACTATCACCACAATTAACAATTATCACCAAAAAAATGCATCCCAATTAAAAATCAGGACGATTAGATTGTAAAATGAGTCCAATAGAATTCCGAATGTTGGACTAGTAAATTGCAAAGGAGCAATAATACTCCAGCTTCAGGGAAAGCGAGCAAAACGGTGGGTTTCATGCCGAATATTGTTACGACACCTGCGAATTGCAGAGCAAAAGGGTCTTCCTGTCTAGATTTCTACAAGCAGAATTCTCGCACTCTACACTCAATTCCCCACAAGTGGCATGCTTATGCGGAAGATATAACC